GCCTGCCATTGAAGCAGACTTCATCCGGACCATGCAGTCACTCCGGGATGCCCCCGCGTCTGCCTCTACTACGCACGACGGCTGCTCGTCCCCCCAACCTCCCTCTCTCGTTGCAGGTGGTAGTGGTAGCAGCACCCTGACTACACCAGCCTCTACCCCTGCGTCCGTTTGTGCACCGGTCTCCGAACCCACCGACGCTGCTACTCGCTCTGCAGCCACTTCCGCTTCCACCGCCGCAGCTTCGGCCAGTCCCACGAAGCCGCCTCGCCGACGCCTGATCAGGGGGATCCGCCCAACCGCGCGGACTCTGCTACGGGCTTCATCGTCCCGCTCATCTTCACGCAACAGCACAGCCAGCAAACGATCTGCTGGCCGCAGCGATGACGAAGAAGAAGATGGCCACGATGATGAGCTTCCCTTGATCCGCCGTCGGCAAGGCCGGGACCGCAAACGCCGAATCCTCCAGGACGTGACTCTCGGTATCTCTAATGCAGGTACAAGTACAGATGATGAAGACTGTCGGATCATCTCTGTCAGGCCGAGAGACGTAGCTGAGGATGATGGTGACAGTGGCGGAAAGGTGGACGAGTTCGCCTTGTCCGAAACCGCGGAAGGAGAAGAGGAAGAAGCACCATCTTCGAATGAAAGAGCATCGACCGCTGGCGAGAGTGATAGCGAGTTCGAAGGTGATTAGCTTCTTCTTCTTGTGGGTTCAGTCACGACCTTGTCTCTCTTCTCTTCTCTTCTCTTCTCTTCTTTTCTCTTTTTTTTTTCCCCCGCCGTTCTTTTCTTATTACATTCTCAGCACGGAGTTATCTGGACGGATGAATGCATCTAAGCGGGCTCTTTTTTTGTTTTTTTCGGAGGCAATCATGCATTTCTATATGGCGTTTTTTTTTTTTTCTTGATAGACACACTTACATGACTTGGATGAGGACATGATGATACCACGAATAAAACGACGAGATAACACAGCTCCAATATCTACTTTTTTCACGTAATGGCAGACCAAAGAACAGGATAATGCAAGTATATAATGTTCAGAGAAATGAGTCGGCTCTTAGTTCTCTTTATGCTTTGATGTCCACTTTAAAATACAATCGTCATAATATCCATCCATGCATCCAAGTACTGTCAACTTTCATATGCGTATATGTACCTTGCAACGTAGGCAGGAATGGTGTAGTATCTATTTACTTGAACTGGGTGAGGGCAGCGACAATGGGTCCCTCAGCAGCACCGGCAACAGACTGGAGCTTCTCGCCGCCCTTGAAGAAGAAGAAGGTAGGCATGGCTCTGACGCCTAGCTCGGCAGCAATGTCAGAGCACTCATCGACATCGACCTTGTAGAAATCAACATCCTCGCAGTGCTCCTCGCTGAGCCTGTCGACGACGGGGGAGATGGCCTTGCAGGGACCGCACCAGGTGGCGTAGCAGTCAATCAGGACGAGCTTTCGCC